AACAAAAATATTTTAAGAAATTATAAGAAGTGAATAGTATGCACTACCATATTCTAATATATTTGAAAATCTCAATGAATAAACCTCTTTTCTTGGAAAGAAATTGACACTGACAAAAAAAGTGTATGCTTGTACACATAGAAAAATACACCCATCTTGTTTTTGTTTTTGTTTTTTTTTTGTGTGGGGGACTTTTTTATTTTCTTTCTTAACCTCCATCTTTAATTTCCAAGCTTTCTCCAGTGAATATTTATTTGTTTTGTAATCAGAAAAAAAAAAGTCAGGATGACAAAAAGGAAAGCTAGAGAAAACAGCCATAGTTTCTGGTGCTGTTGGAATGTTGAGCCTGTGTAATCCTAAAGATCTTGCAGGACTCTGGACACCAGTACAGAATCACTGTCTTTACCCAGATGAGCTTGGCCCTGGTGCCTACACACTCTGCCAACAGCTCCTACCTTCGCTCATGTAAACGTCACAGCCGCCCACTGAGGTTGGCATTACTCTTTATATTTTTACAGGCAAAGGAACTCAGAGAGAGTGGCCACTTACTTAAAGAGGCCTAGGGAATTTAAAGGGAAGGAGAGATTTGAACCCAGGTCAGCCCACTTTCAAAGCTCATGCCCTTTTCACTACATGAGTATTTTTTTTTATTATCATATTACAACCAAGACCACCAAAAAGCTGTTATAAACTCTTAACTCACAGAGCAGAGGGCCTTTTTCAAGATAAACACAATCTGTTTGGAATGCACCAACTTTATTGAAAAATATTACTGAAATCAAAGCATTTTGTACTACTTTATTCATTATTTTTATGGTACTCCAGGATTTTTGTGGGATTTGTTTTTCATTTCACTTCTGTAAGTCTGCCAATGCTGTAAAGCAATATTTCAATTGGAGGGGAAAAAAGTAGTTTTCCTAGCAGAAACTCAACAATGCTTTCCATCCTTTTCTTGCATGGTTTTGAGAAATTCTCCCCTCCTACTTCCCCTCTCTCTCCTCCCCACCTCCCATAAAGCACACATTTAATGTTCAAGCTACTGTTTAAATATCCCCTAATGTTCAAAAGAAATTAAATTTGCAATGGCAAAGGTTTGAAGTGTTAATTCTATCACTGGCAGTTCCACCCGAGAAGTCACAAATCATCCTGGGACGAAGGCAACAAAAGCACAATTCCTGTACCCTCGAGCAGTCTGGGACCCTGTCGCCTTACAGGATGGTGAACAACTGCAGGTAAGCATGCTCGAGGACTGGAGTCGCCTGATCTCTGACATGAAAACAAACTGTTTAGCTCATCCATTGATTCAACAGACACTTGTGTATTCAACAGGTGCTGGTACTCCTTGCTCTTTAGAAGTTCACCATCCAGGTTTGGTTTGGGGCAGGTAGATTTTAGACAGTGCTCTTAATTTGGCAGATGTGGAGCAATCCTACAATACTGTGGTTTCAAACTGTTCTCTGGACCTTCAGGGATGCCTCAGAAGTGCCTTGGGGGCTGCGGAAAGGAGGAGAGGGAGAGGGGGAAATTCTGGGTCTGCAGCCCCACCCCTCACTGCAACCCCAGGAGCTTGCAATGACCTGTTTCATGTACTTGGGTTCCCCATCCTTTTTATTTTGAACAAAGGATAATGTTGCTTAAAATACAAATCTGGAAAAAAAAATCCCTCCTTTAATACATTGAGAAAGAGCTCAAATGCAAAGAGAAGACTTCGTGCTCATCAGATCATTGCGAGAATAAAAGCGTTTTCAACCTACGAGTGTCCAGAACGACCCTCCTGGGTCTAAACTCCTCCTCTCATAGCTGAGGAAATTGCAGACCAAGGGAGGACATGCTTGGAGTCACAGAAATGTTCTCAGCAAGTGCCACCGCAAAGGTAGGAAGTGTCAGTGTTGGTTTTCTAGCCCAAAAACTCAGCCACAGGAGTTTTGTAAGAAAATCACATTTCTAAAATGCCATTTATTTACTTAAATCCTGCTTCTTCTCAAAATGCATAAATTGGTAGGAGAGTTACAGAGAGCCACTGCTCTACAAATTGAAAGCTAATATTATTATTATATGTTGCAATTAATTTTGAGCTCCCTGCCACTCAAGGTAAAAAGAGCAACCCGCTGTGTTCCGTAGTTCTCATGGATGAGGGAACACCAATTCTTTTTAAGAGAAATTATTTCACAAAGAAATGTCCTCACATGACCTCACAGAGGAAAGGAATTGCCATCTTTTTTCTGGTGGAAGATGCCAATAAGTGCAAAGATACGAACTTCCCCATCTAGACTGACGCACTCGGACAGTCTGCACGTTACTGTGGGGACTCACCCCCGCTACTTCCACTGACATTAGAAATGAAATCACTGGGTTCATATTAATAATAAATTGAGAAATTGAAAACTCGTGTTTTTCCTTTTCTCTTTTGTTATTCCAAACTTTGCAGCATTCTGTGTAAACTGGATTTGCAAAAGGGAATATAAAGTCCATAGAGAGAAGAAAAGAGCAGAGGAGGAAAGAACACAACTATCTGTTACCTGGGAACACCCACTGCTCCACGTGTCATCTCGTGACATTGACACCATCGATTCCATGCCCGCTTGGTGTCCCTAACTTCCTTCCTCAGTGAACGCCACACTGTATCTCAGTTAATCCTTTCCACAGCCCTTTAAAGTGGCTTTTCCTTAAATATAAGCATGCTGAGGACACCCAGGTGCAGAAGCTCGCCCTGGTTACAGAGAGAGATTCATTCGAGAACACTCGAGCCACCTGCTGTGAGCCACACCCTGTTCGAGGCACTCCTGTTCCCTAAATGACACCCTTCACTTCAGTGACCTCAGACAGCCAGCAGTCAACAAACAAGAAAGAACAACAAACAAACAGAAATAAACAAGAAAATCACAGACGGCGCCACGTGCCAGGAAGGAATCAGACTGGGCAAGCGTGACAGGTAATTCGAGGTGGGAGGGGAAGCAATGGCACTTTACCTGGGTGCGAAGGCGAGGGCTCTGCGAGGCGGTGACGGTTGAGTTGAAAGATAGAGACTGAGGAGGAAGCACCAGGGAGCCGAGGGCCGGGTGGGACCAGCAGAGCCTGGGTCTGCCCCGAGCAGTCCAGGGGGTCTGGGCTGCCCCCCGGCCACTCGCTCTGACAGCCCTGCAAGGCTGGCATCGTCTTCCATTGTACAGACATGCCCACTGGGGCTCAGAGAGGTTGAGTGACTGGGTTAAGATCACACAGCCAAGACCAGTGGAGCAGGATTTGAGTCCAGGAACATCTGGCCCCAAACTTGTGCTCTTAGCATTGACCTTATTGATTGAACCCATTGATCGACTTATTAGCTACCAGCACTGACAACTCATTTTATCGTGGGTCAGTTAGTTAACTAGTTAGATGTCTATCTATCTGTTTTTATTCATACTCAACCTCATTCCAAAAAGGGTTTGAACCCCCAGATTCTCTGTACTTACTAGAGTCTTCTTCAAATGGAGCCCCCCATTCCAACTGGATTGGTGGCACAGAAATCCTATGATAATGTCTTCCCAGGGTACGAGTTCACATCCTTCGAGAAATGCTCACAGACAAAGGTTCCCAGCGACACAGTCCTAATTCTCATCCTGGAGGTGCGTGGGAACCTTGCTGTCCCCTGCTGGGGGCTGGGGCCTCCCCAGAGCACGAGCTTCATGACACTGTCTGTGTGGTTGTCACGAATCTTCCAAAGGTTCTAGGTACACCTAGAAACTCAAGCTTCCCGTCACCAAGTCAGAAACAAAGCAAACCAAACCCCTCCCACATCCTCCAGTGATGAGCCAAGGTCCCCCAGGGAGTCGAGCAAAGAACGTGTGGTCTGCCACTCCACCTGTCTCCATCGCCATCATTCTGAACACGATGCCATCACGGAAACTCCCGGACCCTGACGCTAGCTGCAGAGCGGTGACAGCAGTCCAGAGGGGCAGGAAAAGTTCCCTCCTGCCCTGTGGCTCGTTTCCAAGCCTGCCGGTTGATGAAACCCATTGCAATGACCTCCGTGAAGCGCAGGAAAACGGGTCACTCCCTGAATTGCCACGTCTGCCAAAAATAGGTAGGTTACATCATCACCACACAGGACCGGACTCTTACTCCATGTGCAGTTTGGGGGGTTTCTGAGTAATTTGCCAGCTGAAAAAAGAGACTGCCATTCAGGGAGCCCTTGTTAGCTCAGAACAACAGCCGGCACGTGTTCAGCCTTCCCACGTGCCCAGAGCTATTCTTGGCCCTTTACCCTATTAGCGAATTAATTCTCACAACAACTCTGTGGAGGCAGATTTTGTTATCATCATCACTATTTTACAGATAAGGAATCCAAGGCACAAAGACCTCGTATCACTTATCTGAGGTCACCCTGCCAGAAAGGAATAGGGCTGAATTCAGGCTCCTAACTGGTGCTGGGTCTGGGTCTCATGCAGTCATCTGAGAAGGTTGTCAGCCCATTACTCAACCAAAAACCAGAACCTCGTATCCAGTTGTCATTATGGACAAACGAGGAAAAATTGAAATGGTAGAGATGACATTAACAGATTATGTCAGTTTCCAGTTTCACTTTTATGCAAGCAAAAAGTACGTATTGCAAAAAGCATGCATTGCAGAGAAAGTAGAGGGCTGGACTTGGGTCACAGAGAATAGAGATGATGTTGGAAGCCTGCAGATCCGGGGCTTGAATTAGCAACTGCCTGTACCATGTCGAACCCCTGGCTCTGACTGTCCCATGGTTTGTAGGGTGACAGGTCTGTTCCCCAGACCTTCAGGTGAATCCCAGCCTGGTTCACTGGGAGACCTTCCAGGAAGGTCCGTGGGCATTGCCAGGGCCTCTGCCCCCTGGGTTCCTAAACACTTAGTCCCCAAAGGAGCCCCCCAGCAGCCATCTTTATTTGAGGTGATGATGTGCAAATTCCATTTCTCTCAGCAAAGAGCTCTGCACTGAAGACAAAGTTTGCCTTCTCCTAGAGTGGCAGTTTCGAGGCAAAAATTGATAACCCCTATAATGACACACTTTTTGTCTCCTGTTTACTTCTGAGAAAGGAGGAGGAAGAAAGAGAAGCAGAGACAAACAAGCTCCATCCTTACCCTCCATCCCTGCCCCAGGCAAACAGGAGGTTTTAGAGAACCTCATGCCTCTGTCCCTCCCTCTTTGCTTGCTGCCTTTAGCTGCGACAAGGGAACAAGCCACAGACGTTCCCCAGGGGATGCCCATGTGGATAGGCATGGACAGCAGCTTAGAGTTTGCACAGGGTGCTCATGTTCAGAAGGGACTGGGAGATGACCTAGTTCAGCACTGTCCAACAGAAATGGAATGTGAGCCATATAGGTCATTGTAAGTTTCCTAGTAGCCACAGCAAAAAAAGAAACAAGAAAAATGGTAAAAAAACAAACAGATGAAATTTATTTCAATATTTTATTTAGCTTCATATATCCAAACTATTATTCAGCATGTCATCATTATGAAAATTATTGGGATATTTTGCATTCTTTTTGTTATACTATTTGTGTATTTTATACTCATAGAGTGTCTCAATTTGGACTCAATTTGCCTCCTTACAAATGTTCAATGCCACCTCTGGTGAGTGGCCACTGCGCAGGACAATGAGGTGCAACACGCTGCTCCATCTGATGGATTATCACAGACCTTCTTCAGCATCCCCCCAAGGAATAAGCCAGCTCCCTGCTACTCAAGTGTGGTCTACTGGCATCTGCGGCATCGCCATTGTCTGGGCTTGCTAGAAATGCAGAATTTCAGGCCCCACCCAGGACCTGTTTGAATCAGAATCTGAATTTTAACACTATCCCCAGGTGATGCCTCTGATCAGGAAACTGAGAATCCTGCTTGCCTCCTCTTAAACACTTTCACTGGCAGGGAACTCGCCACTCCATCCCCAAGGAGGCCCATGCCATCCTTGAATGGGTTTGGTTAACAGAAAAGCATTTATCCTTCGTTTGTTGAGTGTCTCTGTGAGCCCAAGATCGTGCTGAACACGTCCAATGAATGATCTTCAAACCCAGAGGAGCTAGTTTTGGCTCCTTTTTTACAGATGAGAAAGCAGAGACCCCAGAAACCTAGATGACTTGCCCACAGTCACGTGGCTGACCACCAGACTGTCTCAAATCCTGTTTTCTCAGCCACTGGCTGCACCAGGACCTGCCTGCTCCTACCTGCCCCTGCCGGAGGCCATTCAGAGCCCAGGATTCTTCTCCAACCTCACAGGAGATGTCATTGGCACTCAGTAGAGATGGTGCTCGATGCTAGACTTTGTTTCTGTGGATTTCGTTTATGACCGATTTCATTCTTCCATGTCTTTTCATTCCGTATTGCATTCGTTGCTTGAACACCCTCTGTTGGTCCCTGCCTGCTCAGCGTGTGCTGTCCTCATCAAGGTCTAGAGCGAGTTTAGAAATTGGCAAATAAGCAAATAGGCAGAAATGAATAAAAGTCATAGGATGTCATTAGACAACTCAAAGGTTCTGGTTTCCAATTAAATAAGGTACATGGCTAGAAAAATTAGGTAGGGTACACACATCATGCAAGGGACCCCAATTATATAAGATTCACATGTAGGCACCAGCCTTGAGGAAGACACTGAGCGTGCCACAAAATGTCACGAGCTAGCAAGCTCTGGGACTGATGGAAGTGCAGTCAGATGGAAAACGAAAGCAAAGAGAAGTAAGCAGGCTCTCAAAGAGTTTTACTACTTAACCGTTACATGTCAATAAAACTCCTAGACAACCAGATCGTTGCTTTCCATCTGTCTGTCCACTTGTGGCATGGAATTGCTGACTGCCCCATAGAGGGGTGAGCATTTAGGTGGCACTTATACTGTTGTTTTGGAAATGAGTTATATTCCCTATTCAAAAGAAAAGTCTTTTGTCTTGAATAATAATGGAAATCACTAGTAACAACATTCCACCTTTTGGTATAGAATTGTATAATTTTTAAATAGCTGCCATATCCTTCAACTTTCCAGGAAGTCAGGAATCACTGTGCATTTGAGGGAGAGTGGACCATGGAAGTGGGAGAAGAGAGGGAAGAAGTAAATGCAGGAAAGGATAAATTAGAAACAAAGAAAAATGACTGGCACCGACTGGAAGCCCAACATGGCCAACCTCCATCTAATACTGTTCTTCCCATTTGTCTGCATGTTACATGAAATGCCTTCCTTGATTTTCTCAACATTTAGAAAATATACTCAGGATGGCCAAACTTAAGATAGAGACTACATGGCACACACCATATTCCCTTTGGGGGGGTGGGGCGGGTTATGGGGATCCCAAAGAAATCCCAAGAAATAGACAGTCATCCTCTTGAGCAGCTTATGACAAGGAGAGACCTTCATCAATAACAATTAATAAAGAAGTGCCAAACATACTGAGATGTTAGTTGTCTATGTTTATTGTCTATTAATATAAACAATATTAAGTTATGTTGTCTAATGTATTATGTCTAATATATTATAATAATATATAATAATATATGTCTAACATATTATGTCTAATATTAAGTTAACATGTCTAATATTAACTTATAGTCAATAAGTTATGCTTATTGTTTATTGTTTAAACATAGACAATAAGCAGTAGCTTCAAATATGAGTCACGTGAGGACAGCAGACCATCCAAATTGCAGCCCATGATTTATGGTCCTGATACTCCTGACATGGGCATTTCTTTGCGGCCGCAGGCATTGGCTGATTTAGAGATTATTAACGATTCTCCAACGCAATCCCAGGCACCACAGCGACTTGGGAAATACACACCAGACCCCTTCCCAGGCACCTTTCTGAGCAGCCCAAATTCCATATCCTCATCTTTCCTATCATGCATCGAACAGTCTGTCTCCACATCAGGCCAGGATCTCCGGAATTACTGAGGATTAATCCTCAAGAAATTCTCTGCGACAGAACCGGCCCGTGTCGCCCTTGAATCTTCAGGGCCCAGGAAAATGCTTAGCTCACATTACCCGATGGAACAACCCAACAACATTATGGCTCTCTGACCTTTATTTCTGTCTTACACACAAAGCAAGTATGGTGCGAAAAGATTCGGTACCATGTCCAATGTCCCCCTGCCAGTGGGTGGCAGAGTCAGGGTCCTTGTCTCCAGCCACCTCACTATGATGCCTCATTCTTACTTCCATCCTGGGCACCCAGAAGCCTGCAGTAACCCCAGGTTCTCGTTCGCTGGGGAAAGGGAAAGAAAGGTCATTCTGCAGCGGGGACTGCCACCTCTGAGATGCCCCTGCAGCAACTCCATTCGAGGGCAACACGCTCACTCGTTCTGACGTTTTTCAGTCTCTCATGGCCCCGTGCCAGGACCCGGAGACACAAGGACACATAGGTGGTGGTTTCCGCACAGGCTGGCCTAGGGAGCAGGGGTAGACTCTTTAGAAGGACAATACAACGTGTCACTGAAACACACTTCTACTGAGCTCCGGCATCACCGAGCGAGGCGTGGGAATGTTGCAGACCCTGCCTGCACAGCTCAGCCCTAACACGTGGCCGAGACCACATGTGTCGGAGGTGTGCAGAAGGGGTGAGGTCATGGCAGGTTGAGGTCGTTGGCTCTTCCAGGAGAAGAAAGCAACAACAGTCCCAACAGATGCACCCGGAGTATCCCTGTCATTTCTAAGTGTGTTCGGGTTGGCGTATTCCCTGCAGATGGGTATTAAGGAGGGTTATTAAGGATGATAACGCTTGCATGGACACATCTGGACAGCATCCCTAGGCTGGGGGTCCCCCATGGCTGCCTTCAAGCGTCCACAGTTCCACTCTGGTTAGAAAACCTCAGGAGAATATGACCTCGGTCAAGACTGGCGGCGGTGAGTGGCTGGGGGGCGCTGTGGCTCAGCAGGGAGTACGATTCCTGCCATGGCTCCGGCTCCAAACAAGTCTGAGCTGTGTTAATGCCACAAAGGGTGGCTTCTAGAGGAAACAGCCTGGAGAGCTTTCTCTAGAAGGGCCACACGGGCACGCCCACTTCTCAGAGCTCTGACCAGGGCTCCGGGGAATTCTCCCAGCCTTCACTGAACCAATTTTCCAAAGTGCTGTGTAATTAATGCCTCCCAGAAGAAATCCTCTCCTGTCACCAAGAAGGGAAAAATAAAAGCATTCCTGCAACTGTTTTATACCTTGGGCAGAGCAGATTCATGTTTAGCCAGCTCAAATAAAGTGCTATATGATGTAAGTAATAGTAGAGACCAATATTTTACAGGAAAGCTTGTCAAAGGCCCTTCAAGCATGTTCATCCCTTCGAAAACGCAAAAATAGAGTCGACATAGAGTTTGTAGGAGATGTTATTGCTATTAAAAGAATGTTGTTGTTTTTTTTCCTGTGGAATTTCTGCAGGAAAATAGCTAGTTTAGTCTGTGTGAGACCTGGCATGGAGACTTAAGTATAATTTGTTTCTACGCAAAGCATGGATCTATTTGTTTGCTCACCAAGTATTTATTAAGCACCTACTGAATGAAAGACATTCATATAAATGCTAGAGAAAAAAACAAAGTCCTGATCCTTATGGAGCTTGCATTCCTGTGGGGGAGACGGACATTAATAAAACAATAAGATATATCTGTTAAATATGATTTGTGTTAGATGCTGTACAAAAAATAGAAACAAGAAGTGACTAATATTGAGGGAAAGGTATATTTGGGTTCAGGCTCGAGAAAGGCCTCCCTATGAAGATAACCTTTACATTGAGTTCAGAAAGGAGCCAGACTTGCAAAGGTAAGGAAAGACCTTTAAGACATGAGAAATAGCTTGTGCAAATGTCCTGGGGCAGGACAGAACACAGCTGAATTGGGGAAGCTGAGAGAGAAGCGGTGGGGCTGGAGTGTGGTGAGTGAGGAAGAAGAGACTGGAGTGGACAGGGGCCAAGACAGGTGTGCCAAGCTCTGAAGGTGGCCCGTCTCTCTCCTCGGATCTTCTGCCTGACTTCACTTGGCAACTCACTGCCACAGACCAGTGCCTGATTTCTTCTTCTTCCCCCACTTAGCACGCCAGGAGCACTGTCTTGAGGCTTAAAAAGAAAAACCAACACACCCTGGCCTCCCTCTGCTTCCTTCCAGCAGCTTCCGCAGGGATGAGGAAACAGGCTCCCTAAAAGGGCGTGGGTGACGTTCCCCCGGAGAACACATCCTTCCCGCCCCAGCCAGCCAGCCCGGGCGGCTGCACTCGGTATGCCGCTGCGGTCGTTGATAATAATTGTTGCATTAATTGGTGCTGTCCGGACCAGACAGAATGTAAAAGATCCCACTGTGTCCAATAATTAATGTTTTTCCCTCACTGCAATGCCATTAATAAGGGGCTCTTCCAAGAAACGAGTAATTGGCTGGTTGGGCGTCATTAGGGTATTTATAGATAAGCTTTGGTCTGGAGACAGAGAAGAAAGCTGATTATGTTTATTTAGACTCTATTATCTATCGCTAATGTGTTATCCTGCGTTCCGATCGTCCCCATTCTCTGGGTCGTAATGATACGGGGCACGCGCACAATGTGATATCGGTGACCTACAACACAGCTTTCTCCCTGTCGCAGGGGAAGGGGGGGGACTTGGGGGGAGGCCGTTCACAGGTTCCGCTCCCTCCCACTCATCCGCCGTGAGCCTCCCCTTTCCTCTGAGAAATTTAGAGCAGGGCTCTCGGAAGTACCAGAAAGACAGTTTCTCCTAATTAAACCTCAGAGGAGGGGAAGTTTCTTGGGTTTGTGATTATCTGAAGGGTTTTTGAAAATGTATTATAAATCTGGTTGGGGAAACATTGCTTTGAAAAATACAGGGAGGAAGAGGCGGCTTGGATTTGAGAGGATCCCTCTGTGGTAGCAGGCAGTGAAGTCTCAGGAAGTATTGAAATCTGCCAGAAATGCACACCCTCCTGGACAAGCTCTCTGGACCCTGGGAAGTGGACAGAGGTGGCACATGGGGCTGTTTTTTCTCCCAACAGCCTTTGGTCCAATTGTTCTTTGCTAGGATTTTCAGAAGAGATGTCTTACATTTTTTAAAAAGTATATATATATACACAGCACTGTCAGTGTACTAAATACCACTGCATTGTACAGTTAAAAATTATAATATTAAAATGGTAAATTTTATGATATATATATATATTTCACCACAGTAAAAAAAAAACTAATAGGAGAATCAGCAGATTAATATAATTTATAAGCCGAATTTAGAAGCATAAGGAATAGGGTTTGAACTTTGTAACTGTTATATATTCTAAGATTAATTTTAGAAACCAAATAGACTTCTAAATGATCTCTTAGGCATGCGAAACTATCCACAAGTTAATTTTTAAACACCCTTATATTAGCAACAGTAATTCAAGAAAATTATTTTGTCAATTGCATGAGCTGGCCTCCATGAGGCTGTAGAGTGAAATTGTTCATTTTTACCACTTCCCATTCAAGGGAAGTGTTCTGTGAACAGTTCTGTATCCACTCCTGGCTATAATCTCGCAGGGGTTCCATAGCTTTATCAGTCACCCGCATAAAAGGAAGAACCCCGGCCCATCTAGTAACAGTTGTGTGGAACGTATAGCTAGATGGCATGTGCGTGTATGTGTGCTCTGTAGCATCACCCCATTCACATCGCTCACGGCGATGTGTGGTGGGAAAACCACGCGATTAGGCATCTGGAGACCTGAGTCCAAGCTCCAGCTCTGCCTTGTGTCACGTGCTGTGTAAGGGGAGTGGAAGACACGTGACCTTATCAGGCCTCAGCTTTCACACCTGTGAGATGAGAATGTTGTTACTGCACACCTCGGAGGTCTGGTCTTGGAAAGAAATGCCATGGTATGTGTGCAGGTGCCTGGCGAGTGCAGAGAAGGAGCCCCGGGAATGTCCGTCATCTCTCATCCCTGAAAGGGGAGGAGAGTGTTGGCCTTGCAGGTGTGACAGCATCTGTCAGGCTCGGTCCTCCCCAGCCACCCCCACCTTCTCTGCCAAGGACACACTCAGGATCCTAGACCTGGCTCTATTTTTGAAATAAGCTCCCAAGAAGTTGACCTGTGCACAAATGTGTGATGTAACTTTGCAAATTAAGTGTGTAATGCTTTTAGAAAAACGATGCCCTTTCCTCTCCTGCTCCCCGCCACTGGGACCAGGTAATTTGCAGGCACACCTGTTGTAGGTGTTGGGGAATACTCTCAGAGATATTCTTAGATCCTGGCCTGAGGTCTAAAGGTAAAGAGGCTGCCTCCTGGGACTCAGTGATGCCTGCGGTGCTGGTCGTGCAACAGGAGCCAGGTGGGAGGTTCTGAGAGCAGGGCTGGGCTGGGACAAGTGGCTGCAGGTTGGGGACAGATCAGCAATCAGAGAACCCAGAAAGAAAAAGGACTGAGTGCTGTCAAGGGAAATTAAAAGAGGGAGGACCCCCCACCCAAACCCAAACACACACACACACACACACACACACACACACACACACACACATACTCCCCATTATTTACTAGATATCACTTACCAGATATTACCTAGACGAGGCAAAGAACTTACCCCTCTGGGCCTCAGTGATGTCATTTGCAAAGGAGGAAACTGACCTGCTTAGCTCATCAGCTGAGGTTGTGCTGGCTGGTAGCACTTTAATTTACAGAATGTCTTCCAGGTACCCAGCTTTGTGCCAGGTGCCGGAAGGAGAGGGATGGAGAATGAAAGAGAAAAAGAGGAGGTGTAATCCCCACCCTTGCCTGCAAGAACACATCTCTCTTCTGCAAATCTTGCCAGGGTTCTTCACTGTTGTTAGAACAAAATCCAAACTCTTTGTCAAGATCTACACAGAACTTTAGGATCCAGCCTTGGTGCTTCTATTAGACAATATTTTGCAATGTCCCTTGGATATCCTGAACCTAAATTCAGAGATAATATAACTTATCTACATACAAGATGTTTTAATCAATATAATGCCTTAGTTGGAGTATAAAAAGAAAAAAAGAAGTAATGTGTAATAAAGCAGTATGTATTGCAATAGTCTGACATGACTTCATTAGTGAACACAAGAATACTTAGCCAGGTGCTCGCATTTGGGTATAAAATCACAGCAAGCGCCGCAACTATGAATACAGACTGACAACAAGCATGTTGTTTTGGAGATTCAAATACCAAGAGTGATGTTACCATGGGTGACATGATTTTCCCAACATGGTGAACACCGCTTGGGAACGTTCCAAACAAAACACAGTGCAATCTTCCCTTAATTTACACAGTAGTTGCATTCCTAGACAATTCAATGTCTAATTGGAACCATGCTAAAATTACTTTCTGTTTATATGAATAAGAGAGTTAAGTCCAGACTGAGATTTTTATTAACAGGCCTTTTACCTACATGAACACCCACCAGGACACTCTAAAGTCACGCAGGACCCAGGCCAGTCCACTGTTGCATGGGACTGTTCCCCACACTGCTTGAAGCCTGGCATCCTTAGTACCTGCTCACTGAATTGATGGTACCCTTCTCCCTGACTGCCCCCAAATATCCCAGTGAACTTTAGAGGGCAATATCACCCCACCAGGAACCCCTGAGCCAGCTCCTGCCCTCCTCTCCAACACTGGATCTGTCCTATCCTCCCCTTGTTCAGTACATTCCCAGATGCACTAGCTTTTCTCCATTTCACCAACACACCAAAGGGCCTTTGCACATGCCGTTCCCTCCACCAGGAATACTGTTCCCTGGACGTACACATGGTGACCTTCTCATTCTTCATGTCTCGGCTCAGGTAATGTTTCCATGACAGCAGCCTTCCCTGAGCACCCTATCTACAGCAGCGCACACGTCCCCACGCTGCTAGTCTGAAAGGGATCACCCAGTTCTGGTCCCTCATGGCACAAGTCACAGCTGTAGTGATCCACCTCTAGCTTGTCTTCCCCACTAGACTGGGGTCAGCAAACTTTTCTGTAAAGGACCAGTTAAAAAACATTTTAGGCTTTGTGGACCATATAATCTAAGTTTTGACAACTACCTCTGCCCCTGTAGCTTGAAAGCAGCCATAGACACAGTGTAAACAAATGGGTGTGGCTGTGTTCCAATAAAACTTTATTTACAACGGCAAGAGTCAGACTGGATTCATCCCATAGGCAGTAATACACCAGCCCCTGCACTAGACTATGGGCTCCATGTCTGTCTGGTTTGCTTTTGAATGCCTTGGGTCTAGCACAGTGCAGGGCAGAAGGTTAGCGCTGAATGCATGCTTGGTGAAGAAAGGAGTGTGTTGTCCAGCTGGAATGAGGACCAGAAAACATGAGAAAGAGGCACCTATTCCTAGCACCTATGAAGCATTTCCATATTGGTCGCACACTCAGCACTGCAAGAGTCCTGAGGAGGGAAGGGCAGGACAATTTAGGGAGGGCTTCCTGGAGAAAGTGGCTCTGAACAGGATCTGAAGGAAGGATGGGATCTGAAGCATGATAATCATGGCACTTACTTGTTCAATCACTAATTCCTTCACTCATTCAGGGACGTTTTTCAAGTGTCTATCAGGTGTTGACAAAGCAAAGATGAACATGCAGTATGCTCTCAGGGAAGGAGGACCCTTTAAGCTTGTTGCCAGGACACTAGGGAGTCCGAGGACTTTGTGGCTCAGATACATTTCTGGGTGCCTGACGCACAAGAGAGATGAGGGTCACATCTGTGCACAATTGGACCTTCATCCCACCAGCCATCCTCAGTTCTAACCAGCACTACACCACACTTGTAAAACTGGCACATGCTTGTTCTCAGCATCGCCCAAACCCTCACCCTCCAACCTCACCCAGTCCCATGGCCCCAGTCCTCTGCCTATTCATGGATCATCCATTTACTGGTAGCATGGTCATCTTCCCAGGAAGGAGATGCAGTAATGATGAGTCTTCAGATAAATGCCTGGGTGGGTTTGGAGCCCGGCTACCCCTGGGCCATCAGAGCATCATGACACACCTGCCCGGAACTTTTAACTACCTGCAGGACATTTTAGCACCAGGATGGGTACCTCAAGACCACAGGTGACAATTCTTTAAACTTTTAAGAAGTTATTTGAAGTCCTTTTTTAAAAAGGGTATCCCCAATTTTCCTTCTTGGTTTTTCTTTTGGCCAAAGCTCAAGACTTGCACCTCCTGAGAACCTTATAACAGCTCTTTTTTTCTCTCTTTGCCTTGGCTTCTCAGAAACTCAGAGACAAGTGCATGGCTCATAGCCTTCCAGTGGCACATGTGTGTGTCACGAGTCCTCACTTAAACCTATTTTGCTGCTTATTTCCCCTGCGTTGGCTGCTGTAATGCATGCACCTCTGCAGGCAACTTGAGCCCTTTCAGGGATAAGTCAGGTGTCTTTTGTGTAAAAAAAAAAAAAAGAAAAGAAAGTTGCAGAATGGTCTCCCTGTCCTCCCACCTCCAACACTGAACGCATTTCATTAATATTGAGCTTAATTATCTTGAAGGTTAGTTTAATTTAAACAAATCAATTTATTATTTGCATTTCAGAAACAATACATTTTATACCTGCTAACAACGGGTAAAAATAGATAAACTAATTTCTTAACACAGTATCGATACTGTGTCATGAAAACAGTCCATGCAGGAAACTCCATGCCACCGCCTTCTTCCTGTCCCAATCTTGTCTCTGTGCTCGTGTGGTGACCCTGACCTAGCATGCTCCGCAGGGCAGCCCAAAGCATTTCTGCAGGAACACCTGGGGAGCTGGGGGCTGCAGGCCCCGGGAGCCACTAAGGTTCACAAATGAAAAAATTCTCCAAAGGGCTGTTCTTAGTGAAGTGACAAAAAAGCCAGGGCTTTGGGATCAGAGAACGCCTCATGCATTCCTTTGTCTGTTGGCCATTCGATAAATGGAGTGCCTTTGGGGGCCGGGCACTGTGCTAACCACCAGGGAAACAGAGGAACAAGGCAAAGAAAGCCCATGCCCTCAATGACCTAACCTTGCAGTGTGCGGAGACCACAACAAACAAGGAAGCTGCGGAGTAAACCAGATCATTGCAGACTGCACTAATGTGACAGCGAGCTGGGGGGAGAGGCTGCTGGAATGGCCTCTTGGAGGAGGCGGCATCCGAGCCGGCCATGGGAAGAGGAAGAGGATGCAAAAGTCAAGGAAAGCAACAGCAGACGTCTAGAGCAGGAAGAACTCGGCAGGCAGGAGACGCAGAGGCGTGCAGGCCAGTGGGGCCTCTCCTTGGTGGTTTTAGGGAGGATGCCTGGTGAAACTGCCCAGGGCCTCCGCAAATGCATCTACAGGGACAAGATAATGTCACTCCCCTCACAAAACACTGATCCTAGCAATGGGAGAATTGAAACAGAGAGCAAACAAAAGTGAGGGCAAAAAAAGAGACCGGAGATTCCTTTTCTCTAAAGTAAGCCAGCAGCCCTGGCGCACGTGGGCATTGTTGAGATGCGAAATCCTCCAACAAGAGTCTGGTCCCTTCCGGCCCTACCTGAGGACCCCAGGCGTCCCCACAGACACCGAGCCTGGTGGCTCTGTCTGGTTTGCTGGGCTGTCCTGAGGACCACAAAGCTGTGTTAGGAATGGTCTGATATTAGCTAACAAGCTAAAGCTCTTCTCTCTGCATGTATCTTGAGATGATGCCATCCTGGGCCCACCTGGGAAGAGAGGCAAGTCTACTTGACAAACAGCGTGGGCCTCTCGCCCCATCGGTGAGTGGGCGACGCTGTCAACCCTCCAGAAATCCGCCCCCGCGCCGCGACCCAGGGGCGCCCGCCTGAGGCCTGCAGCGACGCCGGCGCGCCACGATCACGCAGCGACAAGCGCGGAAGGCACACAACTCCACCTCGCCACCTTTTTAATGAGTAAGATCCTCTGGCTGCCGCCGGGGCCCTCAGAGACCAGCTATTAATGAGTGCTTAGAATAGACTGCGCCCGTTTTATACGTGTACGGTGGCCTGGGAGAGACACTTCAATTTCCATTTCACATCTGCTGCCACGCTCAAGTGTCTCCTCAAGGGCAGGAAAACACTTTGCGAATTTTGTCTTTAAAGAGACATGTTCAAAGAGAGCGTTCCCTCCCCACAGCCACATTCTATATGTGAGCGCTTTTCAATTTTCAAAGTATATATTTAGATTATGTATGGCAAAGCCCGGGAGGCGCGGCAGGCCGCGGGGCCTCAGCTGCGCACGCGCGTTCCTTCCTGCCTCTGGGGCTGGGGAGACAGGGGCTCTTGGGTTTGTCCTGGGCCCTGTGGCTTCGCTCCCCGAGATGGGATGGGTGCAGGGGACGGGACAGCCCGCGTTTTGTTTCTATTTACAGGCCTCGGTCCTAGCCCAGCAGGCGACATAGGTCGTAGCCTGAGCACCATGACTCCTCAGAGACTTCACCTCCAGCCCCAAACGGGAGTCGTGGGGCCTGGGAGGGAGGGCGCACGCGGGGGACAGCGGGCCGGGAAGCAGGCGGGAGCGGCCCGAGCCCACAAGGGAGGGCAAGGGATGGGGCTCCCTCTGGCTACAACCTTCCAGGAGTCTCGCCAAGATTACAGGAGGGTCCAGAGCAGAAAAGAAAGGAGGAGGAGATGGAGATAAGAAAGGGCTTCAGAAGAAAGCACTGGCTTGGAGGCCTCAAGAATGCCCCTGTTGTCATGGGGGGTGAGGGTGAAGACTGCGAAGGGGCTGAGAGGCTGTGCAGTGTGGTGGGAAGCTCAGCCTCCAGCTCTGGCATTTACCAGCTGGGTGATTTGGGGCAAGTTGCTTAACCTTTCTGAGCATCCACTTTTCACTTGTAAAATGGAATCATAATGCCTCTGCCTGCAAGATTGCTGAGAGGATGACATTCCCCGGCACATGTACAGTGCCTGGTGTATGGGTGGTGCGGCTTGGTGACATTTGTGTGTCTCTAGCTCAATAATCATCAGAAAGTCCCCAGAATAGGAAAACCCACAGGATAAAATGTGTCCTGAACAGGAGAAAAAATATAAGAGAAGCAACGCTTATCCATATTTCGAAAGAGGACACTGCAGAGTGAAAGCTACCGACAGTGTGAATTACTGGTGATTTCATCATTGTTGCCTTCTCTGCAACAGGCAGCCCCAGAAAGCACAGGGGTTCCAACCCTAAGCTCGTGGCATCACAGGGCATTTCTAATTATCTCAAAGTGTGCCACAAAACTCTCATCAAACCTGAGTTTTCTCTAATACAAAATGCCAGCATTTTCAATCACCAGCACTTTGGCAAGAGGAGAGGTGGCATAGAATCGCATGTCACAGAGCCTGCCTGCAGCTTCCTCAGGCCCCATTCTCCTATTCTTCCTCCCTCGAGAGCGCCTATATTCCAGAGGCAGAGATGTGCCCCAAGACTCTACTGCCCAGCCCCTCCCACAGCCAGCTGTGGCCATACGATTAAGTTCTGGCCAGTGAAACAAGAGAAACTAGTAGGCTAGGATTTCTGGAAACGTTCTTTAAAAGGGAGAAAAGGCAACTGGAGAAATCCCTTTTTGCTTTACCTTCTTGTGCCTTCCCACTGACTGGGGTGTGGATGTGATGGCTGGGGCTGTCGCAAGCATCTTGAAACACTGAGGGCAGAAGCCATATATTGGGAATGGCAGAGCAGGAGGAAAGACACAGCCCAAGCCTCAGATGATTGTGAAGCTACCACACCACCCTACCAAGGACTTCTTCAACATTGGAGAAAAAGCCTTTATGCATTTAAGCCACTGTTATTTGTGTTTTCTATTATGTGCAGGTAACCTAGTCCTAACATCCACACTTAGTGACTGAAGGCTGCTGGCTGTTTAAAAGAGGAGCTCTGGGCCCCGGCTCATTCTGGGCAAGAGACACTGTGTGGAGTAGGGAGGAAGAGGGTAGAATGCCATGGTTCAGGATGAGGGTCTGAAGGCACCTTCTGCCTAGTGTCTATCAATCTTGGCTGAGTGATCCCAGGTGAGTGATCCATCTTTCTCTATTTTACCTCCTAGAAACCTCCATTTCTTGAAGCTTAAGCCCAAAATCTAAGGGATATGGGTGCCATAGGAAACGGACATAAGTAAAAATTAAAATCACGTTAAAGTCCCAAGTCTGACTCTTACCAGCTGTATGACTTTGGGCAAAGCCACTTAATCCTTAAGCCTCGATTTTCTCCTCTGTAAAATGGGAATCATAGTGCCCATGTCAAAAGGGTTATGTCAATCAAGTACCTAGAAGTCAGCCCTTAAAAATGGTAGCTCTTATTATTACAGATTAGCTATGACTTGACATAATTTTTTTCAGAGAGAGGTCTTGGGGCAATGGCATATGCTCTCCATAAATGCAGGAGATGGCAATGCTTTGGCCAGATGCCGTTGCTCTGTTTCTTCCAGGCAAGGTGGAATCAGCTCTAGGGCCATGAAGGTCTGTCCCCAGTTGTCTGAGAACTGGAAAGAGGACAGGACCAGGAGTGGGGAGACCCAGCTCCTGTCACTGGTTTTGCTATTAAGTATCTGTGTGACTTCAGGCAAGTCACCTCCTCTTCTGAGCCTCAGTTTTCCCACCTGTTCTGCCCATGAAATGAGGGTGCCATACTCCATCCCTGAGCCTCCTTCTAGCATCAAAGATTAGCAATTCCATGATTACAGGGAGTTTGGAGATCCAAGATCAAAGCAGTCAATGCACCTGCTCTCACTTTTAGCTATGTCAGTTTCAGTTTTGTCCCCAGCCTCCTCCCGCCTCTCATTCTCAGACTTTCTTTCCTGCTGTTATTCCGATAGTATCAGGGGTCTGATTCAGCAAGAAGCATCATTTCCATAGACACTAAGGCTCGATCTAAGGCCTGGGGCAAGAGAAGATTTAAGAGAGCAGTTTGTCTCACCTCATGAAATTTGATGTAAAAATTCAGATGTGCAAACCCAATACATTGGAAGACTTTTGGTTTCTAACAGAATCAAATCTGCTCACCTGAAAGTCCCCCACATGGATGATGGGAAGGAAATTATGCTGAGTGCTTGGCTACCACACTTCAGTTCCTGAACTAGATTTAACATATGTCATTTAATTTCTCTCCATAAGAATCCAGCAGGTAAGCAATCTCATCCCATTCTGCCAATAAGGTAGAAAACAGTACAATATGGAAAGATGCTGGGCCAGGTATCAGAACAGAATTTTGTCCTAGAACCAGCTGCCCCTGGCTGCTGGCTTCCTGAGTTGTCTCACATATCAAAGGTGGGTGTTGGAGAGATCAGAGCCTGCACCTGCTGGTAGTTCTCCAAGCTGACACGATGCCCCCATCCCACCCTGTACTCAGTGCATGCCAGGACAACTAAAGAGAGGGCAAGTAGCCATGGAAACAATGCCCTGATGCCTGTTGTGCTTGGGAACCTCCCAAAGGGAGCATCTTCTCACTAGCAGAAGGCTGGGGACCTTGACTTCACACATGCACCCTTCCCACCCCTCTCTGACCACCTCTAGAACCCCACATGTCTCCACTGGATCTCCAAACCCAGGCAGACCTGCTTCCAAACCTGAATGTGCAACATTGACTCTCTGGGATCATTGAGGGCCTCTCTGAGTGTTCACCGCGATCCCCATTCTATTTAGACACTGGCTTCGCCCAGTAGCTTCATCAGGAGGTGGGGTCCCTCCCTTGCGTTGCGTTTACCTGCATCAGCCATGCAGTGCCAAATGATGGAACTGCTTCCTGACATCCTATGGGACTTTTGCAACATGTAGATGGTGTTGCCACAAAAAATTTAACAGAATTACAATTGACACTTGAATGCTTTCAGATTCGCCAATGAATCTGATGCCCATGTGTTGCCAAAAGTATTTATTGTCTCATAATTTGATTTACTTTTTTTCCACGCTGCTCCCACTGCCTGCAAGTAGGGGCAAAATGGCTGAGGCCTCCAGATGCCACGGAGGCTAATAAAGCTCGCTGTGCTCCCAGCATGCTCTCTGCTGTCAGAAACCGGCAATTAACTTAATAGGGTTCTTGAAATGGAGTCGATCCGGGAAATGTGGCATGTGTTGACACTCTCCCGCTGATCCAAGCAGCCTCCCACCATTGACTTGCAGGGTCTGTTTGCTATTTGAATTATTTAGGAGCTTGTTATGTGAATTAAAAAGCAGCACTTTGCAGCATTAAGTCTAATATTTTATGATCTTCAATTGATTAGGTGGGCTTTCAGGATTACATGGAAAGGTTAAGATAAAACACGCCTCAGACAGACGGCTCTCGCCAGTCTGTTTTGCTTTTCAAAAACCCAGATGAAAACCCAAAAGGGGCCTGCCTCCCTCTTCCTGTCTAAGTACTAGTCTTCCAGAACCAGCTTTTGGGTCATCGCAGAGCTTCTTCGCCTGAGGATACCAGAGGTCCTGGGTTCTCAGGACCAAAAGGAGGCTGGTCCCCTATTTCTAGACCTTTCTTTTGTCTCTTTCTTGGCACAAAGATACCAGTGTTGATGTGACAGCTGGAGGGACCGCACTCCAGGCCTGAGCCTGCAAAGGGAAAGCCGTGCAGTGGGTGCCAGCCACTCCCTGGGACCTGGGGCGGGCACCCCTGCCATGCCTGCCTCTGGCCAAGGCTGTGTGTAGCACACGCCCCGTGCAGCATGATCTTTATAGACCACCAAGCTCCAGAGGGCCTCCCTCCACCATGAGTGCCAATTCATGCCCTCCTTGCCCTGCCAGTTGCCACCATCCTCTCCCCTGGCCAATGGCAATAGTTTTCCACTGGTCTTCTCCCATTATTACCATTCCAATCTACCCTACGCTCTGCACCCTGAGGAATCTTTCTAGAACCCAGCTCTGGCCATGACACTTCTCTGCTCAAAAACCTTCAATGGCTCCCCATTGCCTGTTGAGTATATGCAACTCAACGTGGCTCCACCTTTCTTTCTAACCTCATCTTCTATTGCTCCCATATAAACCAGCCGAACCGAGATACTTGTTATTCTCAAAACACATTCCATGTTTTCTCAACTCTGAAGAGATTTGTGGCATTCGTTCGGTGCCTTAGGTCCCCCTTCTTCAGCAATTCTACAAGTCCTTGATAATAACAAAGACTAGATAAGGATATAATATAGGGCTTACTATGTTCTACACACTTTGAATATTAATTTATTTAATTCTCCTAACAATCCTATAGGTAGGTACCTTTATTATCTCCATTTTATAGATGGCAAAACTGAGACTCAGAGAGGTTAGGTAAGTTCCCCAAGGTTACTCAGCTAGCAAGTGGCAGAGCTGGGATTCAAACCCAAATAGACAAGGCTCATTTCAATTCTACTTTCTGTGTAAAGCCATCTCTGCCCCTACCTGTGTGGCCTCTTTGTCCTCTGAGGTTGGCATCCACCTTGCCATGGCACTGACTTATCCGGGCTGGAGGTGGAGGTACACGGCCCTCTTCTCTACCATAATGCCAATGCCTTGGGACAGTCCGGGCCTCCCTCGTATCATCACAGGGCCAGAGTGTGCACATTGGAAGTGTTATTCAAGCAGGGTGATTCAATTTGACCATAGGGTTGTCCCCACTCAAGTCACTGGCCCCACAAAAGCGCTTACCTGGTCCTCACTGTAGTTTCTGAGTGACTGGAGGAGGCATTACAGGGAGTGAAAGTACAAGCTCTAAAGAAAGGGGCCTTGGATTGGGATCTGGGCTCTATCTCTTTTAACCGTGAAAACTTGGGGAGATTAATGAAATAAGAGACGTCCCTGAAACAGGACACTCAATATATTAAAGTCATTATTATTTTCTATTAATATGAACTTCACCCAAGCTGAGGATTTTTATTTTTTTCAGAACATCAGTAGGATGGTCCCTGACTCCTGAAAGCAACAACTCCATGCAAAACAAGCAATGGCTGCTGCACCCCAACCCTGCAGCAGGCAGGATGAGCCAGCACAGCCCTCCTCCAGGGGTCCCTGGATTGAATGGGGGGGCATGGGACGGGCAGCACAGAAGGAGCCCATCTCACCCATGCAGAAAAGGGCAGGGCTGAATGGAGGGGGGCCCTGTGCAGAGTGCCAGGAGCTCAGCCGGGAGGAGCTGGGACCTGCCTGATGCCTGTGGTCCGTCAAGGTTAGTAGGGGTGCCACGAAGCTGAGGGCCAGCACTTCGGCAACTGCACCTGGAGGAGAGTGCCTATGAGATTGGTGTCTATGTGCGTAGGTGAGGGGCTGTCCTCAGAACCTCCCCACTGCAGGGAGGCCCTGAAGCCAGGAAGTTACTCTCCGGAATTATCTTACTACCACTAATTAATTCCTGGGTCTTGTTCTTTAAGGCAGCAAGGTCCTAAGGGTACTGGGGCTTGGAAGACACTAAAGTATGTGCAAAATCTTGAACACATATACATATGTGTGTAGGTAGAGATTCTATAAAATTCAGTGTATGTCAGGATAGGCTCATGGCTAGCTGCAGTAACAAATACCCCGTACAGCTCAGTGGTTTAATACAAGATGTCACAGGCCCAGCAGGCCTGCAGAGAACAGGCAATGAAGGGCAGGGTTCTGCCGGCAGGAGCGCCACCATCTTCAACGTGTGGCTCCCAAGGTCACCCTGGGCACTGACAGTCAGTTGCCAAATGGAGGGGAAAGAAGCATGAAGGATCTTACAAGAAATGTCAGGGGCCAGGCCTGGAAGTAGCATCCATTACCCCTGCCCACATGCCATCGGCCAGAACACAGTCACACGGGGCTCTGACCCCACGGGGGTTGGGAAGTGTAGTCTTCCTGTGCACCCAAAGGAACGTGCTGCAAAACGGCTCACGCAGGGAAAAATGTTCAAAGGGCAGAGGCTTGAAGAATAATAAGGACCATTTGTCAGATGTACGTTATTCATTTAAATTTCACCATTGGTAACAGATGTTTTTATTTTATACCCATTTTGTAGATAAGGAAACTGAAGCACAGAAAACTAAGTCACTTACCCAGGATCACACAGCCGAGATGGAGCCAGAAAGACCCTTCCGGCTCGCCTCTTGTCAACATACAGCTCCAAAGCTGCGTCTTGTGACTTGTGTGAGTTACGTATTATGAGTGGGAAGGCAAATGTGAACAGAGAAGACAATTTCAAACTTATATTTTGGGGACAGCTGACATTATTGCCTGCTTATGCCGCAGCAGACACCGTTCACAATGCTTTTCCGTGTGTTGCGTAATTGACTCCTCCCGGTAACCTCACCAGATACATCCAGCTATTATCTTACAGCTCTCAGGCAGAGGCCTTCCACAGGGCCTGAGCAAGGGTCTCTGGGTTCAAAGTGTCCCAGCTCTGCCACTTTACTAGTCCTGAGACCGTGGGCAAGCTGCTGGACTTCTCTGCCTCATCTGTCAAATGGGGGTGATGTTACTGCCTATCCATTTCAGAGACTAAGACAGAGGGACAGTGCAGTGGGTGGTTAGGAGCGCAGGCTCTGACTCCAAGCTCAGACCTCATCACTTCCTGGCTGTGTGATCTTCGAAAGCTCTGGTTCTGTTCTGAGCCTGGGTTTCCTCCTATACAAAGGGGACAATGAAAGAACCTATTTGTTAGAGATGTGAGCACTGTGTGAAGCAATGTGACACACATAAAGCACCTAGGACAGTTCCTGGCACAGGGTTAGTGCTAAACAAGTGTTAGCTATTATTGTCTCTGTGTCCCTGGCACCCACCACTGTGCCCAACGGTGCTAAGCAACTGCTGTGGGATACATGAATGGGTTTTTATACGTCTTGTTCTCTGCACAGCCAGAGAGCCTCTCCAAATTCTCTCCCAAAGATAGGACCCTGAGACAGGAGTTGTCGCTGAGGATGGTCACCGTGCCCCAGATACTCACTGTTTATAATGATCTCACTGAGTAAATAAATAGCACGAGATGAGAAGCTAGGCCAGGCCTTTCAGAAATACTCTGTCCCTGGCTCCAGCCAGGGCACCGGTCGCAGAGCCCCTGGCCAGCTGACTCATCTCCCCAGTGCAGTTGAGCTGCCGAGACAGCCCCACCCAGCCCCTCTCAGCCCCGCAGGCTCCTTCAGACGGTCTGGCAGGCCCGGCAGGAGCCGGTCTAAAGCAGCTGGCTCTGGGGCCGAGGAAAAGCAGGTGTGAATCTGTGACTAATGCCAAAGAGGGACCATCAAAGGAACAGAAAAGCTCTGACCAAGGAGGTTAAGGACAAAGGCCAGTGCCACGTGATGGAGTCCCTGGGGGCGGGGAGGGGTGGTGTTCAAGGGCAGATAAAGCGGCTTTGCTGGGCTGTGGGGTGGAGGTCGAAAGGGTCCCTAGGGCCAGGCTGGCCTAGAGCCAGCACAGCCCTGAACTAGGGAGGAAATTCCAAAAGCCCCTCTCCCGCCTCTCTGGCCCCAGCCCCAGGATCACAGAGCCGTGGGGACAGTTCACAGAACATGGCTCCAGCCCAGGGTCAGGACTCGTAAGGGTAGAAAGATGGTGACATCGAGAAAAGTCTCTAGTTGTTGGGCATCCTTCTTGGGAATCAAAATTTCTTTAGAAAAGTAATTTTTTTTTATTTTGGAAATATAATTGAGAGTTGATGATTTCATTTATACCCTTGAGCAACAGACTTTGGCACTCAGAGATGATGCAGTTCCGTTGATAAATTCTTCAGAGAGGAAGTGACTCCACCTGTCCATGCTACAGTATTTATT